CGTTGAATGCTAGCTGTGAGTGCCGAAATGGCAGCAGCGTCTGTATGCTCCGAAGGGAGTTGAGAAAGATATTGGCTGGTTAGTAAGGTCCTATAACCACGTATAATAATTTGTGAACCGCTTCAGTTTAATGAGAACTGCTTTGTAAGAATACCAGTTTCTGCAGAGCACAGAATAGGCACCTTGTACGATTTTACTGTAAAAGTTGAACAGACGACCTTCAGTTTCTCACACTGACGATACCCCATGTATATCTATGTAGAACGGTCCTAAGTAGACTAAATTGTCCCTTGGTGTACCCTACTCTGTCAATTTGCAAATGTAACGTTTTGAAATCTCTTTAGCAGACAGCTGATTGCTGTAAACAGATGCTCCGTCAAGTCGTTGGTAAGTTATCGTTGTACGTTGACGAACATTTGATGATGTTTTTCGTAGACATTATTGCTCACACTAGTACTGCGTATCGTTGGTTTAGTGTTGCACAATTATTTTTTATCTATTTTTTTTCTCCACAAAGTTAGTATCTATATTATTTTGAAACGTCAACACGTTCATTTATTGATTTACTAACTACATTAGATATACAATTTTATCGTTTGAATTCATGGTAACACGATTTCAAAATGGATTCTTCACTGTTATTAGCCTGTTTTGCTATTTACTTTTGTAATCACATGTATTAATTCCGGATTGGGCCGTCTCGTTGTTTACGTATTGGTTTCAAATCTTAGCTTAACATGTTTGTTTACGGAAAAAAGGCAAAAGCCAAGGAGAAAGATGTTGATGTGTTTGTAAGCATTGAACATCGGTTAGTTGGCATTCATAGCCCATATGAATACAGAACCGGAATGTCACAAATTCCACAAAGCGCGCCTATACTTTTGTTTAATTTGTTACGTTTCACAAGTTATTCATATCGACAGTAAATGCCAACTGAAAGATGTTCAATATTTAACTTAACATCTGAGATATTCATCTTATAGAACATTTTAAATGTATGAATCAGTTAAAATACATGTTAGTTTATGTATACGTATCATACATGCTTGTTTCATGAATAGTACTTCCACCTTCCAGGGAGGACCAGCACTATCTAACGATGACGCAAACAATCGTACAATTGCATTCATAGCTGATATGAATGCCACCTGGATAGGCTATGTTATGTGACATTATCATACGATGGTAAATATTTTTTTCTTAAACTTTTTTTTTTTCATGACGGAAAGTTGTGGCTATAATAGTTTGGTGAACAATTTTGTAAGAAATCAATTTACTGGAGTTTATTTAGTTGAAGTTTGACTTATTAAGGGTTTGATATTTCTGATTTTTGGTGTACTTTGTAATCGTTTTGAAAACTCACTGTCTTCTCAAAATGGAGTACAAACCAACTTTTCAGCAGAAAATGTTACTATTTTCCATTGTAGTGTACTGAGATCTGTAGGCTGCGTCGCAGTGGGACAAATGTACTTAACGTGCGGAAATAAGTGAGATGTCCAATTCCGCATCCTCCGGACACTGGACAGAGTCAACTGACCCATGTGACGCGTTAATGATGGAGAAGGTCTATGATTTAAATATCATATCGACATCCGGGCTATTTGTTTACGAGAGTTTCCAATTGACTGACCATGATTTGTCACTAAATATAGACCTCTTTGTCAGCGCAATCTCTGAAAACCAGCAACGTTAGACGTGTGAAAAAGGCCCACACGCTCTCGACATGTCACCTGGCCTGCGGACGTCATTAGTGGGGACAACGTTTACGCTCCATGGGCCGTCAGACCACTCCACGGCCGCCAGGAGGCAGAGCGATAGGTCTTTTCCATTTCTGGACGCGGACAATCGGAGAGTGGACTGTCTGGTGTGTGTACATGTACAACGGTCGTGTACGCCAGAGGAAGAAGATAGATATACTCTTAATTAATAGTAAATGTTTTACTTAGCTCGCCAATTATCGACTACTTCAGCCCATGTATCTTTGTCAGGGTCACGAACATGTTTGTTGATAATGATGGATGTTGTGACGCCGAGGCGTGCAACGCCCTAGTCCTTCAGACGCTTAACCTAACGAGGCGCGGGTGTCACACAGTTGACGGGTTTCTTGTAGAAAGTAACCATGGTGATGGCGGGCTTCGCGATGCTACGTCACAAAAACGTCTACCGTCCGGACAAAGTGACACGTCTAGATTTGTGACACCTGTTACAAAGACTGTCCCCATTTGGTATTTGTTTGATCATACACTGCAAAAACAATATCGCTTACGATTTGCTTTTCCTTAGTACAATTTTCTTCTTCTTTTCGGATGTGCTCTATATACGCCTTTTTTTTTTTTTTTTTAACTTATTTTTTATGGTTTTTTTTATTTTTTTTCAGTTGCTCATTCATAAAATACGTGGAAATAGATTTTATTATAAAACATGCAATCACAAGATGATATTTGTTATATTACGTTGAAACTGCTCTTCCTAGACTTTAAGGACATCTTTCTATTACAATGAAGCCTGACTTTACTGATACATGACTTTACTGATACCTGATCTGAAATACATGCTGTTGTATTGTGAAGCCTGACTTTACTGACACCTGACTTTATTGATACATGACTTTACTGATACCTGATCTTAAAGAAATCCTGTTGTATTGTGAAGCCTGACTTTACTTACACCTGACTTTACTGTTACATGACTTTACTGATACCTGATCTTAAACAAATCCTGTTGTATTGTGAAGCCTGACTTTACTGACACCTGATTTTACTGATACATGACTTTACTGATACATGACTTTACTGACACATGACTTTACTGACACATGACTTTACTTATACCTGATCTTAAATACATCCTGTTGTATTGTGAAGCCTGACTTTACTGACACCTGACTTTACTGTTACATGACTTTACTGATACCTGATCTTAAAGAAATCCTGTTGTATTGTGAAGCCTGACTTTACTTACACCTGACTTTACTGTTACATGACTTTACTGATTCCTGATCTTAAAGAAATCCTGTTGTATTGTGAAGCCTGACTTTACCGACACCTGACTTTACTGTTACATGACTTTACTGATTCCTGATCTTAAAGAAATCCTGTTGTATTGTGAAGCCTGACTTTACTGACACCTGACTTTACTAACACCTGATTTTACTAACACCTGACTTTACTGACACATGACTTTACTGACACCTGACTTTACTGAAACCTGGCTTTACTGATACCTGACTTTACTGACACATGACTTTACTGACACCTGACTGAACCAACACCTGACTTTACTGATGCATGACTTTACTAACACCTGACTTTACTGATACATGACTTTACTGACCCCTGACTTTACTGACACCTGACTTTACTAACACCTGACTTTAGTGATACATGACTTTACTGACATCTGACTTTAATGATACATGACTTTACTGATACATGACTTTACTGACACATGACTTTACTGACACATGACTTTAATGATACATGACTTTACTGACACTTGACTTTACTGATACATGACTTTACTGATACATGCCTTTACTGATACCTGATCTTAAATACATCCTGTTGTATTGTGAAGCCTGATTTTACTGATACATGACTTTACTGATACATGACTTTACAGATACCTGATCTTAAATACATCCTGTTGTATTGTGAAGCCTGATTTTACTGATACATGACTTTACTGATACATGACTTTACAGATACCTGATCTTAAATACATCCTGTTGTATTGTGAAGCCTGACTTAACCGATACATGACTTTACTGATACATGACTTTACTGACACATGACTTTACTGACACCTGGCTTTACTGAAACCTGGCTTTACTGATACCTGACTTTACTGACCCATGACTTTACTGACACCTGACTGAACCAACACCTGACTTTACTGATGCCTGACTTTACTAACACCTGACTTTACTGATACATGACTTTACTGACATCTGACTTTAATGATACATGACTTTACTGATACATGACTTTACTGATACCTGATCTTAAATACATCCTGCTGTATTGTGAAGCCTGATTTCACCGATACATGACTTTACTGATACATGACTTTACTGATACCTGATCTTAAATACATCCTGTTGTATTGTGAAGCCTGACTTTACTGATACATGACTTTGCTGATACATGACTTTACTGATACCTGATCTTAAATACATCCTGTTGTATTGTGAAGCCTGACTTTACTAATACATGACTTTACTAACACCTGACTTTACTGATACATGACTTTACTGACACATGACTTTACTGACACATGACTTTAATGATACATGACTTTACTGACACTTGACTTTACTGATACATGACTTTACTGATACATGACTTTACAGATACCTGATCTTAAATACATCCTGTTGTATTGTGAAGCCTTACTTTACTGATACATGACTTTACTGACACATGACTTTACTGACACCTGACTCTACTGTTACATGACTTTACTGACACCTGATCTTAAATACATCCTGTTGTATTGTGAAGCCTGACTCTACTGACACCTGACTTTACTGATACATGACTTTACTGATACCTGATTTGAAATACAACCTGTTGTATTGTGAAGCCTGATTTCAACGATACATGACTTTACTGATACATGACTTTACTGTTATTGATACATGACTTTACTGACACCTGACTTTACTGATACATGACTTTCCTGATACCTGATCTTAAAGACATCCTGTTGTATTGTGAAGCCTGACTTTAATAGTACCCGACTATAAGGAAACAGGTAAAACGACTTTATACTTTCATGTCGATAGGTACGAGATAATACGAGATGGGACGAGATTGGAGGATATTACACTGGGTAATTTGTATCTCTCCGCCAGTCTTCGCTCGTTGGTACATTGTACTATATGTTTTTGTTTAAAATCGAAAGCCAGCGGTGAGTACAAAATCTACAGAAAGTAAACGAATAGTAGTGATGAGACGGAATAGATCGCTAGAGACATAAGACGGAATGAGGTTACTTACTTTGTAAACAACTTTTCCTGATGAGTCCGTCGTCGTCAGAACAAAGCGCCTCCACCAGGCGGAGATATGTCGTGTCAGGTATCGACCTGCGCTGTGTGCTTGATACTGAAACATAAACAACGGGTTCAAAGGTCAGGTAAATAAACTGCATTAAAATATACCACAGTGTTAACGAACATCGATAATATATACCACAGTGTTAACGAACATCGATAATATATACCACAGTGTTAACGAACATCGATAATATATACCACAGTGTTAACGAACATCGATAATATATACCACAGTGTTAACGAACATCGATAATATATACCACAGTGTTAACGAACATCGATAATATATACCACAGTGTTAACGAACATCGATAATATATACCACAGTGTTAACGAACATCGATAATATATACCACAGTGTTAACGAACATCGATAATATATACCACAGTGTTAACGAACATCGATAATATATACCACAGTGTTAACGAACATCGATAATATATACCACAGTGTTAACGAACATCGATAATATATACCACAGTGTTAATGAGGAACGACAAAATATACTATAACATACAATGGCAAAATATAACAAAACGCCAACACTCACTTATATAGAGGATCTCTCATAAGTTTCCCTTTAGAGTTATAATACAAGTATTTATTTTTTATTGGGGGAGGGGGGGTCGAATGATTCTAACTGAGTGGGGACAATATGAATTACTAAAAACCCGTACGGAATTTGCAACACAACCACAACAAAAAATGTAGTCCCTGGCGGAGAGTAATTGACTTTAATATGTTTCAGTTATTAGGTATACCAGTAGCTACAAGGTCAGTTTAAGTTGTTATAACTTGTGCCTAATCCCTTGTCTACTCTTGGCAATACATATGTTTAAACTAAACTGATTGATTGATTGATTGATTGATTGATAGGTTTTACGTCCGCTTCACTACCGAGTAGTTCGGTTATCCAGCAGACGAACATTATTAAACTTAAAGGTTAGCTTTAAATATATAGCATTGTATAGTGAAAATTAATTCAGGAGTCGGTCGTCGGCTCCGGATTAACGTTTCCGGATCCAAACAAGTCATAAACGTACGCAACGCGTCGACCTTTAAACGAAACAACGTGTATATAATTGTGGTTTGGTAACATTTATAACGACAGCGTGATAATCGGTGTTGATGGAGTTAATTAAATTACATGCCCAGTGTCAACAATCATATATGTGACGTCATATACTCTAACTTTAATCTCCCATCAACGCGATTACAACCAGCTCAGCAAAATCCTCGATTTGTTTATAGCCAATAAAAAACGCTTCTGTCTTTCATCCAATCAGACATAGCGTTATATCCACCTTCACAAATCCTCTTATCACCATCCAATCAGAACGCTTGAGTGAGCTGTGAAATCACGTGATACAAGGTACATTGCACTAAATCTATGATTTTATTGTAAATTGAGCAAATTACATGCAGTTTGTCCCTTTAAAGTATTCTTGTATTCTACCAAGTGTCACCTTTTTGTATCATGGCTGTCGATTCCTTCCAGTAACAAACAGACAAATCTGATACTGTATAAATTAGATTTTTTGTGGGTTGGAAAACATCGCTAAAATAACGCAAATATCTAATCACACACTAAAAACATCTCACCTTTCGAGATTTCCTCAAGCTTAAGATTTCCTATAAACAATACATTGCTTGAGGATTTCCTCAACTTTGAGATGTTTTCTGCAAATAATCTCATGTCAATGAAACAATGACTTAGCACATACAGCTAGAGACCAAACATTGGCTAAATAGTCTAAACAATATGCACGTGCTGACTAAAATGACACACTAGGAATTACATATATTGTAGCAACACTAAAAATGACAAATACAAAACATCGAACCATCGACACAGGATACAGATAGACCGTTAATACTTAATTCAAGACATGCCCACTCTCATCCCCCTTTTTCCTCTATCCCTTGGTCAAGGATCCCGATATGAGAAAATTCTACATCCACCTTTTCTCCCATCCCCGGGTCAAGAATCCTGATATTAGAACTTTCAAAAGTATATCCCTATTCCATGCTTAAGAAACATCTCAAAGCTATAATAAGCAATGATTCTTCTCAAAACTCCGATCAATAAAATGCCCCAAAGTTCTGATATATATTAATATAGTCGAGAAGAAAAATATTGACATTTCACTAAAAGATTCACACTCGCCTCATTGTTGGTGCTCCCAGTGTACTCAACGTCAGTTTTATTCACGATAAGTTCTGATCCGTTTTTGACAAGAATTCTGAATTGAATCAGATCTGGCACGTATACCATGAATATTAAAACGGAATTCAGATTTGACGAGACAAGTCATGATCTGCTGTCTGGTTTGTGTAGGGGATCACACCTTAACAATAACAGTTAAGGTCATTGACGACATCCAAGGTCAAATGACGACATGTAAGGTCAAATGAGGACAACTAAGATCAAATGACGACAACTAACGTCATATGACGACAGCTCATGTCATAAGACGACAGGGGCGGTCGGTGGCGTAGTGATAGGGGTTTCATTTCCAGAACAGACGTAAAAAGGTAAGGGGCTAGCTGCCTGACAAGGTGGGTTTTCTCCGGGTACTACGGTTTCCTCCCACATAAAGACCCCTATGGATGCGCTTCCATCCGGGCATCATTGAGTGATTGCAAAAAAACAGTTTCATTTTAGTCATAAAATAAATAAAGTTTGCATTATATAGTAACAGCTGAAGCCACTTGACAACAATTAATAAGGTCATACGCCAACAACTAAGGTCAAACGATGACAGATGTTGTCTTATGACGTCATAAAAATCTGTAAAGTCCTCTTAGCATGCATCCTCTTTTAGGATATTTACGATGGGGAATAGTGACCATTAATAAGACTAATTTAATAAATCGAATATTTTGGAAACAAGCAATATTGTTGGGTAAATGTAGGGGCCAGGTAACCCCGAGTACGACCTTTCACATTTGTCTTAGAACAGAAAATTTGCTCCCGAGGTTATCACTCCTACTGCACTTGTTCACTTTACTTAAAGACATTGAACACAAACTGACATGCGCACAGGACTATAACAATATATAAACAAGTATTTAGGACCCTGTACAGACGTGTAGCACATGTCGCCCTGGACGCCGGAAGTGGACACTCGATCAGCAGCACACCAGTGTTCGAATACTGGCAATACGTTCTGAATCTCACGATCGACCAGTGTTGGTTGACTCTCCAATTTCAATATATTTGGCTCCAATTTACCTTTCGGATTATATATGTAGGTATTTGGGAAACAGATTGTCTGACTAGTGGTTGTTAAGACGGTGATTGTCATTGGTACTATAAAAGTATATGACTGGTGTTTTAAAGCTATCGCTCCCTCGAGCTGGAGCTAATCTCGTGAAGTCTCGACAGATCACGTACTAAATCAAGAGAGTTGGGCGAGACTACCGACAGATATTAATTTGTTTTGTTAATGTAGCAGGTCCAGTACAGGTTTTACCGGTACCAAGGGACACTATCACGCCGGCGGCACTCGTCACACTCAGACAGTAGGGGTACAGCACACCCCACCCCCAGGGATATCGGGAGAGAGGCTGGGGAGGGCGACAGGTACATGCCGACCCACAAAGTACAGGGCTCCAATTCAATATTGTATCTTCATATCTTGCCTTTCTAGCCGTATTTTCGTATTCTGTTTTAACTGAATCTGAATGACACATTTAATAAATGAAATGCTTATATAGATACTTCTCAATTATAGGTTTCAACCTACATATTATTGATTTTCTTCTCATGTTTGGTAAGTTTTATGAGGTGTAATTAGAAATACGTAACCATTCATGTTCGGGGAAGTCAAGAGACGCGCATATCACACATCACAGGGTCAGTGTTATGCTCATTGAGAGGAGGTCAACTAAACTCTATCCCCTTAAGGTAATTGTGTATTTCGTTAGAGTTTTTCTAATTATGTCTCTAAACTGTATCATAATAAAACACATAAGTTGTAACACGAATTGAAATTCGAACATTAAAACACATTTTTGTATATAGACATTTCTCTATGAGATACTTCATTTCAATTGCTGCATAACTATTTGTATATAAAACTAACAAGTGGAAGCCTTATCGTATAGCTAGCCTCTCCTTGTACAAATGGACAGTGTCTAGTCTCTCCTTGTACACATAGACAGTGTCTAACCTCTCCTTGTACAAATGGACAGTGTCTAGCCTCTCCTTGTACAAATGGACAGTATATAAGCTTGCCTTATACAAATGGACAGTGTCTAGCCTCTCCGTGTACAAATGGACAGTGTCTAGCCTCTCCTTGTACAAATGGACAGTGTCTAGCCTCTCCTTGTACAAATGGACAGTGTCTAAGCTTGCCTTATACAAATGGACAGTGTCTAGCCTCTCCTTGTACAAATGGACAGTGTCTAGCCTCTCCTTGTACAAATATACAGTATCTAAGCTTGCTAATAACAATACATGAGTGTGTCGTGTTCCGTGTAATACTTCTTAACTGATAAATGTCCGGCTGTTGGTTGCAAAACAGTGCTTTCCGTTTTTGGATATAACGCCTTCATAAATTTGAAAATAATTAGATTTGGTTTGGTTTTTTTGTTATCTTTCACACCCTATTAACAGCTAAGGTTCGTTTAAGGACGTGTCTTCATGTATGTTGTGAATGCGTGCATGTGTGTGTGTGTGCTGGAGGCAGGGTATGTTGGTGTATTTGCCTCTTTGCAGTCGCGCGGATCTGATGCCGACTTTACAATGCTACATTAGCACCTCACCATACCTAAGGCACCAAGCACTGTACATTCCGCCCGGTCACAGTATACTGACAACGGGTTAACCCATTGTTGCGGTTACACTAAATACTAAACATTTACCAGGGAAATATATAAACTACCATTTTATGGACTATACTACGTTCTGGCCAGGTGACACAATCAGTTATCTTCCTCAATTGGGCGAACGTTCAACAATAATACCAAAAAGTAGGCACTGCCTAGCAAGGAGCTGAAAAAACACAAAAGGTAGATAGACGTAGAAAGAAAATAGAACGATC